TCAGGGGTGACAGGCGTCAGGGGTGACAGGCGTCAGGGGTGACAGGCGTCAGGGGTGACAGGCGTCAGGGGTGACAGGCATCAGGGGTGACAGGCGTCAGGGGTGACAGGCGTCAGGGGTGACAGGCGTCAGGGGTGACAGGCGTCAGGGGTGACAGGCGTCAGGGGTGACGGGCGTCAGGGGTGACGGGCGGCAGGGGGCGACAAACGAGCATGGCACTTCGTACAGTCCTCAGTGGGGCCCTAGCGGGACAGTCACAGTGGGTCTCAGGCTGGACAGTCCCCAGTGCCAGTGGGGCCCAGGCGGGACAGTCCCCAGTGCCAGTGGGGCCCAGGCGGGACAGCAACCCACCTTGGTGGCGGACGGGTAGGTGGGCCAAGCCAAAGGTGTGGGCCAGGTCGTGGGCCCACTTGAGGGCAAGGCCTCCTTCGGGCCCCTGGAGGGACACCAGCACCACGAAGGAGCAGATGTTGACTGGGGCCCGCGTCAACATCGGGGCCTCCACAACCTGCAACATCACCTTCATCACTAACGCTACATCACCTTCATTACTAACGCTTCATTACCTTCATTATCTAACGCTACATCACCTTCATTTCTAACGCTACATCACCTTCATTACTAACGCTACATCACCTTCATTACTAATGCTACATCACCTTCATTACTAAAGCTACATCACCTTCATTAATGATCCATTACCTAATTTGCCTACATCACTCACTCATTAAGCCTTCTATCAATTATGGAACAACTAATTAAGCCATTAATTAGTACAGTAAATATTGCACTTAGTTTATTAAGGCGGTAAAGATAACCATCAGGCAGCGTCTCATTCTGGCGGCCAAAATGAATCATACAAAATATAAAATAATAACATAAAAAATAGATCATAAAATATATAAAAATAACAAGAAAATAATGGATCATAAAAATATATAAATTATAATTTTATAAAATCATGAAAAATAATTATGTTGAACACGGACAACAAAAAAAAAAAGGTGTTTATAACTCACGGGGAGTTTTTGCTGGAGTTGTTTGAGTTTGGTGAGACGCTGGCGGTGTTTGTTGCTGTAGCAATACAGGAACTGACGGAAGTCGTGGTTGTCGGGCACGTAGCGCAGGTACGGCACCGACACTGTAAAAACAAACACTGCTGTATAAACATTGCTGCACAAACTCTGCTGTACAAACACTGCTGCACTGACACTGTAACACAAACACTGCTGTACAAACACTGTTGTACAAACACTGTAACACAAACACTGCTCTACAAACACTGTTGTACAAACACTGCTGTACAAATACTGCTGCACTGACACTGTAACACAAACACTGTTCTACAAACACTGCTGCACTGACACTGTAACACAAACACTGTTCTACAAACACTGCTGCACTGACACTGTCAACGCTAACACTGCTGAACTGACACTGTCAACACAAACACTGTTATACAAACAATATTGTGCACAAAAAGAAGGGTTAGCAGGAGTTAATGGTCGAAGAAAATTCAATTAGATAGATGGTAATTAGAGATATTAGGTATGGCCCCTCAACATAATTAACCCACACTTCCCCCACCACAACCCCCCCTCTTCCCTCACCAGCATTGCTGTTGTTGTTTTTGTTGTTCGTCTTTTGTTTTTTGTTTGGCTGTTCTGCCGCGGGGGTGTGATCCCCCTCCTCCCCGTCCTCCTCCCCCCGGGTCCGCTTGCCCCGCCCCCCCAGTGAGGCCTGGTAGGCCTCCTCGTCCGCCAGGAACTGGGCTGCGTTGGGGCCAATCCTGTCCTCTGGGGCTGTGGGGCCACCGATGGCCGCCTGCACACATCAAATGAAGTCAAAACTTTTCTTGAAAAAAATCCTAGTGTTTGCTTTAAAAAAAAACAGGATCTTGTTTTGAATAAATCCTGCTGTTTAAAAAAAAACGTGTTTGTTTTAAATAAAACTCCCTTGTGCTTTTTCTAATAGTTGTATTTGTTTAGAAAAAATCCAGTTTGCTTTAAAAAATCCTAGTGTTTGTTTTATAAATCCTATCTTTAAGCAACAGAAAAAATTTTCACAGACAAAATGCCTCAAAGAAAATTGAGGAATCATTTTGTGGCCTAAAAAAAAAAAAAAAACACTTGACTCACCTTGCGCAGGTTTTGACCCACCTTGCGCAGGTTTTGACCCACCTTGCACAGGTTTTGACCCACCTTGCACCGGTTTTGACCCACCTTGCACCGGTTTTGACCCACCTTGCACCGGTTTTGACCCACCTTGCGCAGGTTTTGACCCACCTTGCGCAGGTTTTGACCCACCTTGTGCCGGTTTTGATCCACCTTGCGCAGGTTTTGACTCACCTTGCGCAGGTTTTGACCCACCTTGCGCAGGTTTTGACCCACCTTGCACAGGTTTTGACCCACCTTGCACCGGTTTTGACCCACCTTGCGCAGGTTTTGACTCACCTTGCGCAGGTTTTGACCCACCTTGCGCAGGTTTTGACTCACCTTGCGCAGGTCGCTGTGCAGGTCACGACGCTGGCGCGGTTTCCTCTTCCTCTTGTTCTCGATGATCTCCTCCTCGGGGGAGAGGAGGGGTGGGGGAGCCATGAGGTAACCCCCTTTGTTGCGCCTCTCCTTTCCCTTATATTTGTCCCCTCGGCCCCACATGTTCTGCATCGTCGTCAGCCAATCACCAGATTCTTCTGAAGCCTTCGTCCAATCACTGCCCGTTTTCAACGGCTGCTCAGTTGCTGACCAATCAGCAGCATCTTTAGTCTGCCGCTTGGCAGTCGACCAATCAGAGGTAGCCAACTCATCAGGAACCGACCAATCAGATGCTAGCTTAGAATCGTTTTGAGGTTTCTGATTGGACGACGGAGAAACGTGCTTAGGACCAATCATCGCCTGGATTTCAGCTTTTGACAGTTTTTTCTTTGAATTGAGCTTCTGCTTGATGGACCAGTAAGTTGAGGCAGCTGCAGCTGCGGCAGGTGGTTGGCTGGTGACAGGTGGTTGACCACTAACAGCTGGTTGACCACTGACAGGTGGCTGACCGCTGACAACAGGTGGTTGGCTGGTGACAGCTGGTTGACCGCTGACAGGTGGTTGATCGCTAGGAGGTGGTGTACTGCTGATAGGCGGTTGGCTGGTGACAGGTGGTTGACCACTAACAGCTGGTTGACCACTGACAGGTGTTTGACTGCTAACAGGTGGTTGACCACTGACAGGTGGTTGACCGCCGACAGGGGGTTGGCTGGTGACAGCTGGTTTACCGTTAACAGCTGGTTGGCTGGTGACAGGTGGTTGGACGGCAACAGGTGGTGGGGGTGTATGTGATAGGGCAGTGGCAGGTGGCGGTAACTCCGCGAACTCAAGCAACGTTTCACTCTTCGTCCCGGCGTCGTCGTCGTCAGACAGCATGGGGGCGTCCGACACGTCAGACACGTCGTCTGCGTTGCGCTGATGTCGCCTGCCTCGTCTGTTGGACGAGCGCTTCCCTGTGTGATGGTAATTAACATCAATACATAGATAAGTGATAACAGATCAGTAACATATTGGCCAGACATATACGCCTTGGTATCCCACATTCGACACATGTCTACCGTTTCCATTTAATCAATTTTCTCTCGCGATTACCAATCAATTATCCGAAAATTTATCTTACGAAAACCGTCATACTTTTCCTGGCCATTTAAATTTACTTTTTATTACCCATAAAAATTTTTCCAACAAAAATTGACAACTAAAATACTACGATATTACTTTTGAGTTTATTTATGATTGGCAAAGATTTGTTTCAACCCAAAACTCACGGGGAGGTGAAGTAAGCTCCCCTTCCTCCATGTGGGGATCTGCAGCGGGCTCGTCTGAGGGGAAATAAGGGACTATAAATCCTGCTAATCACAACTTCAGTTCGAAATATTGAAGTCAAAGCTAAATATTCATCAAGCACAAACTTCATTACTCCACAAGATTTGAGATTGTTAACAAATGAAGGGAAAAAATATTTACCTGGCTCGCTGATGACATCGTTTCGGGCAGGAGGAGTGTCCCCAACGCCAGCTCCAGCACTAGGGGCTTCATCAGCCGCAGCTGTAGGGGCTTTGTCAGCCCCAGCAGGTAGAGCGTCATCAGCCGCAGCACTAGGGCCTTCGTCAGCCCCAGCAGGAAGAGCGTCATCAGCTCCAGCAGGAAGAGTGTCGTCAGCCATGACTTCGTCCGCGCTGACGCCGATGGCCGCAAGCTCTTCCTCCAGCAGCCGCTTGAGGTCCTCCATCTCTTGCTGCGTGCCCGACGTCACGACGCCCAACGCCCCACCTCCCCCTGGGGGGTTGGGTCCTGTTGGTTCCTTATCAGCTCCCCCAACCCTGGGTTTAGCCGCTGGTTGTAAAGGGGCAACATTTTTTGTTGATTTAGCGGCTTTTTGGTGGCTGGTCGCATCAATAGACGCCTTCTGGATTTTCGCACCCTGTTTTCCAGATGGAATAACCTGGACAGATGGCACGTTACTCAGGGCCGTCTTGGCCATCAGCAGAAGGTGCTGACGCCGCTCTTCCTCCATGGAGCGTTTCATCTGCTCCACCTTCCTCTTCTCTTCCTGGAGCAGCTGCTTCTCCTTCTCAACTCGTTGTCTCTCCAGGACAATCTTCTCCATCTCTGTCTTGCCCTCACTTGTGGTTATCTCCCCAGCAGAAGGAGCTTCATCCCCGTCAACTTCCCCTTCCTCGACCTCCCCTTCCTCCCTGAGGGTGTCGTTGAGGGACGCCACGAGGGGCGTGGGGCAGCCCAGCTGACACCAGGCGCCGCGGCTCAGGCAGTTCAGGAGACGCACGCCCTTGAAGAGGCAGGCGACCACCTCCTCCTGGTCCTCGCGCTTCTCCAACAACTGAAAATACAAGTTTATAGATTAAGTTTAATTATCAATGATAATTCATCAAGTCCCTAAAGATTGTTACCAACGAACCAACTACAGCAGCACCAATCAAACATTTCTTATTATTTTTGCAAAGTTCAAGTCTAAATAATTGATGCACCGCAAAATTACCGTTAATTACGTGACCCGCAAAGTAATTACACCCAATTATGCCCTTTTAAAGTAAGACGTAACCGTTTGGTTCAAAGTCCAGGCAGTCTCTGGCAGAAGTATTATGTTGACATTAATTGTATTACGCCAAACCTGCGTTGAACCACCGCCTTATCCTAGTATTTCGATCATACATTTTAAGGCGCTCTCTTTCTCCTCTTCAGTCTTATTGGAGCTCTAAGAGAAGGCCTGATTATCAGTTAGGAATACAAGAGCAGCAGCAGCAGGTGGGCCTTCTTACCTTCACCTTCTTGAGGTGGGCCACGGCCTTCTTACCTTCACTTTCTTGAGTTGGGCCAAGGCCTTCTTACCTTCACTTTCTTGAGTTGGGCCAGGGCCTTCTTGACTTCTTTGGAGGAAATCCAATCTAAGGCGAACTCCGTGAAGGCAATTGCCAGGCTGTCCTTAGGCGCTCCATCTGCACCTGCAATGCCAGTTGCACCTGCAGTAGCAGCTACAGCAGCTGTACGCAGCAGCAGATGCTCGTGCAGCATCCGCCTCATGAGCAGCTGTAACACCTCCCCATCTTTAGAGCATTTCCCACTCCCTTGGGGTTGTTTGTTCCCCACGGTCCCCGGGTTTGGTTCATCCCCTGATGCCACGTCGGAGACGAGGATCTCGACGTCTGGGACTTGGGCATGTCGGGACTTGACGAGGCGGGCAAGGACTTCAAATAGAGCCACCAGCGTCGCAGACTTCGTCGGTAGCGAACCTGTACAAAATAAAGAAGTGTAAAAACCTCGTCTTAGTTTAGATTATTTTTGAGAATTTACGGAATGATAAATAATTATTAATTATGTCTGAGAATACTTTATACCTTCACCGTCCTGTCTGGGGACATCCGAGTCGTCCATCTTGGCGTCCCTGACGCTTTTGTCGTCCCTCTGTACAGCTGCAAGGAACGCGTCCAGATCAGCTGCAGCTGTAGCCAGCAGCTGTAACCACATCTGCATCTCTGCCGCCAGGTACTTAGGATCAGCAGCTGCAGTTCTCTTCAGGTGCTTGTGCAGGGACTTGACGAGGCGCTTCAGCGCCTGGCGGTGTGCAAACGCTTGCAGGTGATCAGCCTTCAGCACGCTTTTCCTCACGGCATGGGGAAGTAATTCCCCTACCATGTGGTCACTCAATAGCCCCAGTGAGGGCATCACGACGTACACGTACAAGTGCGGGCCCCGGGCCCCTAGGGCGTTGTGGTGGGCCACGACCATGTCGAGGCAGGACTCCGAGTCTAGGGCCCCAGATAGGATGGGGTACTCGCACTGGGCCACCAAGGACCCGTCATGGTAAGGCATGTCAGGGTCTAGGACCATGATCAATTTACGGTCCCGGTTGCGTTTCTTCTCAGAAGACGAAATTTTCTTGAGGGTTTCCGAAAAAACTTGTTTTTGTATGTCGCTTTTCTCGTAGTACATCGGTCGCTTTTCGGCCACTTCCTTCCCTAGGGGGTCTAGAGGGGCTAAGGGTGTTCGGGCAACGGCTGGGGCCGGGTCCACGGCAACTATAATGACGTCATCACTCGGTGGTGGCGGTTTAGACTTGCGTATAAGTGGGTCAACCCGGCCCACGGGAGGGGCGGGACGTCCCATTGTCTGATTGGCCCGGTTAGTGGGCCCAGTTTGGCCCACTCTTCCGAGGCTTTTCTTGATCTCGGCCTGCATTTTGTACTTGAGGAGAATCTCGTCGAAGCTCTCAGGCTTGCGCTGGATCTTGAGTTCGTCCATGCGAGTGATGGCCCCCCCGATCTGTGGGGGGTCCAGCCCCACCCGCAGCGTGTACCCATCAACCTACGGGACACGAGAATAATTAGCCTTACATGTTATTGCTATGGAAATGACATGACAATCATTAGCCTTACATGTTATTGCTATGGAAATGACATGACAATCATTAGCCTTACATGTTATTGCTGTATGGGCCCCAGGTATGGCCCTGACGGCCCGATTGCTCTGGGCCCATTTCTCGAAGTGAACCTCAGCCTGTAGGACGTTCTTCTGGCGGGTTCTGTGAGACCAAACACTCCGGTCAGTTATACACTTCAATGAACAATAGACGATAATGTCAGGAGATGTACTAGTACAAATGTATGGCTAATATTGTTCTAATAGTGACACACTTTTTTCATGTAAGATCACCCAGAGTTCGGGGTGACCTGCCTATAGCGACGACTCGGAGACGGCGGCCGACAAAGGCGGCGCATCAGCGTGACCGGGGACTAGGAAGTCCCGAAATCATCATAAGGTACTAAGGTCACAGATTCGATCTTATGTCGGGCGAAACTTAGTCACGATGACCCACACAAAGGCAAACGTGTATCGCTATCTGGACAAAGTCTCTTATTTCTCTGAATGCGCACCATCGAAAAGAGTTGCAAGGGTAACTCCGTCAGCCAATCACTGACGATAAATAGGCAGCTACGTGTACTTAGGCCGCTACGAGTACTTGGGCCGCTATGTGTACTTAGGCCGCTACGAGTACTTAGGCCTTAAATGAACTTATGAACTCACCACTTGTCGTCAGCCAATCACTGACGATAAATAGGCAGCTACGTGTACTTAGGCCGCTACGAGTACTTGGGCCGCTATGTGTACTTAGGCCGCTACGAGTACTTAGGCCTTAAATGAACTTATGAACTCACCACTTGTCGTGGTGCGGCCGCTAAGTGTACATAGGCCGCTATGTGTACTTAGGCCGCTACGCGTACTTAGACCGCAACATGTATTTAGACAAGTTTTGGAAGCACGGCAGTTGGGCAAGCTAGCAAAACTTTGTTGTATTTATTTTGTATTAAAAAGCTCATTCCGTAAACACAATTTTAGCAGCTTCAGGTCTAAATCTGACGTGTAAAACCCATCAAGTTTGAGTTCAATCACACAAATTTTGCTGTTAAGATATAACAATACAAAAAGTCAGGCTAAAATCCAACGCTATTCCAATCACGAGGATATCTTTGATGACGTACACTCAGATAGATTAAAATATCAGATAAATTCACTCAGATAAATTTCACTCAGATTATCACTCAGATAAATTTGTCAAAAAAATTGAAGCGCTTTTGCCGCATCAAAAAAAAAAAAAAAAAAAAAAAAAGGACGTACCATTGCTACATGGACCAAGTTTGTCACTATGACCCATACATTTTTCCTCCCTCGAATGTCAGCGGCGCATGATTTATGTAAGATAAATTAACATAATTAGTAATGATAAGAATTTTGAAATTAAGCAATGTAAATTAAATTAACGATATATAAAAAAGGCCCTCATAACCATCACCATCGTTATCAAGACCATCATCACAGCAGTCACCATCATTATCAAGACCATCATCACAGCCGTCACCATCATTATCAAGACCATCATCACAACCGTCACCATCATTATCAAGACCATCATCACAACCGTCACCATCATTATCAAGACCATCATCACAGCCGTCACCATCATTATCAAGACCATCATCACAGCCGTCACCATCATTATCAAGACCATCATCACAACCATCACCATCATTATCAAGACCATCATCACAGCCATCACCAACGTTATCAAGACCATCATCACAGCCATCACCATCGTTATCAAGACCATCATCACAGCCATCACCATCGTTATCAAGACCATCATCACAACCGTCACCATCGTTATCAAGACCATCATCACAACCGTCACCATCGTTATCAAGACCATCATCACAACCATCAACATCATCACCATCGTCACCACTCACCGGATGATAACGACTCTGGTGACGTTGCCGTAGTGCGAGAAGTGACGATGGAGCGTCGCCTCGTCGCTGGCGGGGCAGACGTTGCTGACGTAAACCACGGGATCCTGGCGACGTAACGTGCATTAATATACGTCATCACCCACACAGCAATGTTGTACGTTACGTCATCACCACCTTGTGCTCCACCATCACTACGTAACTCTACCCACATGATTCACTCCATTCGCCGAAAACAGCTCCCCTTACGTAACTCCTCCCACATCTGTCACCTAGTGCACCTCCCACCTCATAACTCCTCCCACATGACTCACCTAATGCACCTCCTACCTCGCAACTCCTCCCACATGACTCGCCTAATGCACCTCCCACCTCGTAACTTCCCCCACATGACTCACCTAATGCACCTCCCGCCTCGTAACTCCTCCCCCATGACTCACCTAATGCACCTCTCACCTCGTAACTCCTCCCATTTGACTCACCTAATGCACCTCCTACCTCGTAACTCCTCCCATGACTCACCTAATGCACCTCCCACCTCGTAACTCCTCCCCCATGACTCACCTAATGCACCTCTTACCTCGCAACTCCTCCCCCATGACTCCCCTAATGCACCTCCCACCTCGTAACTTCTCCCATATGACTCACCTAATGCACCTCCCACATCGTAACTCCTCCCACATGACTAACCTAATGCTCCTCCTAGCTCAAAACTCCTATCACATGACTCACTCCATTCACCTAATGCACCTCTCTTATCTCGATATTCCTCCCACATTATTAACCTAATGCACATTCTACCTCCTCCGTAACTACTCCCACATGACTCACCCCAGTCCGTCCACCCATTTTGGCCTCCCTTTCGGCCGCCATCTCTTCCTCAAGCTCCTCCCTCAATTTACGTCGCTCTCGCTCCTCCCAGTCACGCCGCTCGCCCTCGAATCGCTTCCTTCGCTCGAGCTCATATCGCTCATACACTTCGCGCTCGCGCTCCTCCATGAAGGCCTTCTCGCGCTCGTATCTCTCGCGCCGCTCGCCTTCGCTCTTCTCCCAGTTCTCGCGGTCCCGCCTTGCCTTCTCGAAGCGACGCTCGCGCTCGTACCTCTCGTACCGCACCCGTCGCGCATCGCGCTCCTGGCGTTCGCGCTGCTCCAATAACTTCTCCCTGCGCTCCAGGCTGCGCTCGCGCTCGAAATTTGCGCGCAGTTTCTCTTCTATTATTGCGTGCTCGGCTTCAGCGCTAGCAGGCTCAGGATTGGACGAGTTTCGATGAGAAGGCGGAGCATCTTGACGCGGTGCATCCTGATTAGTAGACGTACGGCGCGGTTGAGGAGTGTCATTAGGCCGCATGGACTCTTGATTGGTTGATGTGCGGCGTGTGGGAGGAGTGTCTCCAAAACGTGGTTCCTGATTGGCTGAATTGCGACGAGGGGGTGGAGTTTCATCGTAACGGGAGGCATCCCCATACCGATGTGGGGGAATATTCCGTCGGTGGACAAGGTCATCGTGTCGAGGTGGGAAGCTGTCCCGACGTTGGAGGTTTCCTCGCGGGTGTGGGAAACCTCGTCGCTGATTAGCCATCCCACCGCGGAGAGGCGGAGCTTCAGGATGCCAACCACGAGGCGGTTCACGGAAACCCCGCCCTCGGCCATCCCGCCTCCTCTCCTGCCTTTGATCTGAATAAAAACGTGTGAATACAGCCTTCAGAATCAGTAAGAATTCCATAACAATAGAACAAAAAACGAGAAGCCACGCAATCACGCATTTTAGGCAGACTTGTAAGTTACGATGCTGAAAGAATATTCTTCAATGACAGATGGTTTCCATTGATCACGGATTAACATACATATATAACTCCACCTTAACTGCATATATAACTTACTACAACAAACTGTAATATATTATAAGGTGAGGTGGGGATAACAAGTCACTGTACTGACCTGGTGGGGGGGAGAGCAGGTCACTGTAGGGCTCCTCGCTCTCCCCAAAGATGTCAGCGTCCGGCAGGTAGGCAACCTGCAGCCTGCCCTCCTGCTCTCCCTTTGCTCCCTCCTGCAAAACATCATGCATAACATTATTCATCATACATCGTTGCAGTTTGCACGCAGAGCCGTGGTAATTGACGAGACATTTTATCTGGAATACATCGTTGGGCTAAACTTGGAGGCAAAATGGTGGGGCTTAACTTGGTGAGGTTGTGCTAAACTTGGTGGGTTCTATGGCGGGGCTTAACTTGGTGGGGTTGTGATGGGGCTCAGCTTGGTGGGTTCTATGGCGGGGCTCAACTTGGTGGGGTTGTGATGGGGCTCAGCTTGGTGGGTTCTATGGCGGGGCTCAACTTAATGGGGTTGTGATGGGGCTCAGCTTGGTGGGTTCTATGGCGGGGCTCAACTTGGTTAGGTTGTGATGGGGCTCAGCTTGGTGGGTTCTATGGCGGGGCTCAACTTGGTTTGGTTGTGATGGGGCTCAGCTTGGTGGGTTCTATGGTCGAACTCACCTTGGTGCGCTGGATGGTGTCCACCACGGTGGGGTTGTAGAGGTAATCAAGTGCGGGGTCAATGAGAGGAGGGGGAGGAAGGGCGGGGGTTGAGTTCTCAACCTCAATGTGGGGAACGCGTTTTTCCGAAATCACCTGCAGCATCAGAGAATACAAAGTTATATTAGATAATAAATAATACATATTGTTGCAATACTTCATATAACTAAATATAGAATTTGCTTGAACGATCAAGCCTCTTCATATTATGTTCAACATTATGTATGTACTATTTTTATGCCATGTTCAGCATTATGCATTATTATTAAATTATGTTCAACAAAACTTCAGCATGCTTTTATTTTACCAGCCAATCGAAAATACGTTTTTTCATATAGTACTTATTTCTCCTGAAACTACCCTCAGCTCAATCAGAAAATTCTAACAAAATAAGTTAAATGTTAAGTTTATCCACCTGAACCTCATCTTCATGGCGCTTGTTCTTGTTTCTCCTCCTCCTACTTCGCTTATTGGTGGGGCTGGGGTTGGGGTTGGGGTCAGGGGGTCCCTTATCTCCCAGCCGCTGCTGGAGGTGGGCAGGCAGGGTTCCTGTTTTGGGCTCCAGCCGCAAGCTGGTTTGCCTGTAACAACAAAACTTTAAAATTCAAAATCTTCTTCAAAAAACTTCAAAAAATTCTTTAAAATCTTGGATGAGAACATTTCAGAGACAAGTTCCATCATTAATTTTTAAAAATTTCATAAAATACGAGTACACTCAGTAGTAAAAATCTAAAACTCTACAAAATGCTGTTATATTGTAAAATTACACTGGAATTTAAACTAATTTAAAATATTTAAAAATTACCAAATAACTCACATAAATTGACCATATTTTTTCACTCACCGCTGGGGGAAGGCCGCTGCTGCCCCTGATACCCAGCGCCCCCTGTGGGACTGGGGTGTGGGGATGTGTTGCAAGGGAGGTCCCCTTGGGGGGGAGTTGTGGATGACCTCCCTCACAATCAGGGGAGGGCTGCTGATGCTTTCAGGCACTGCAGGAATGAGGAATTGTCATGAAATATAATATCAGAACATAACACAAATAAACCTGTCAAATAATTAATACAATCAATAAAAGGAAATGCATCAAAACATTATATATGAAATGAATAGAACTGATATTTGTTCCAACAATAAGTCAATAACATATGTACGGTAGTGTACATACACAAATCAATTTTTGGAGTTGAAGGAACATGAATCTATTGAAGACATTCATAACATAATAACATCAATACTATTTTACATAAAAATTCTGTGCTTGGTGAGTGTACTCTGACATAATGATTGCAAAGATTCATGTTGCACTCTAGCAGTTTTGTCATGTTTTCTATAGGTAAAATATAAAGAGATTCCGTGTAGATATAGCAATATATGAAGGTAAGTTGATAACAGGGTACAATGATGAAAAACTATCAATTATGGCAGAGGCAGACAAAAAATTAGTATTATTTCACATTTGCTAGCAAATTTGATTAAGATTCACCTTCCTTGCGCTTATCAAGACACCCAAGAATGTCAACGGCTTTCTGCAACTGCTCCAAGCGCTTGCGCTCCTGCTCCGCCTGAGTACTCGATTGCACCACCTCCACCTCCACATCATCACCTCCACCTGAAGTGTCCAGTGAGGTCACAGGGTTCACTGTTCTCAACTTATTCTCAAAAATGAACTTCTGGTCAGCGATTGCATTTTTAACTTTTTCCTGCTTTTCTTCTTGGGAAATGGTAGCAACATTAACAGAGCCAAAAACATTTACTGGGTCTTCGATGCTCTTCGGTACAGGCAGCTTGCCGCGAGGCTGTCCTCCAGGCTTCAGCTGCAAGTTGCCAATAGTCTGAGTTGTAGTCTTTGGAGCATCAGTTGCTGCAGCTGAAATAGGCGTAATTGGTGCAGCTGCAGTAGTGACTACAGCAGTTGGGGATGAAGGAACACAAGATGTTTGTGGTGCTGGGGAGGAGGAGACATCAGCCGCCTCTGCCTGCTCTGCCATGAGCTCCTGCATCTCTGCCACGACTGACTGCACTAGCACGATGACCAAGCGCTTGGCCTCCGCAAAGCTCCGTTCATCATTAGAGCTGTAATATTCAAATAACATACAACTTTAATTTATTATACAATTCTCTTCAATAGTTGTGAAAAATTAGATTTATCAACAAAAAAATAAAATCAATTTATTTAAGCAGTGGGTCCTAATCCTGCTGTAAAAAGCAAATAAAATTAATTTAGCTTAATTTGATTTCTAAAACTCTCTTTTATAATTATATAAAAGTTTACAAACAAGAAATGAATTCATTTATCAAGTTTTATAACAAAAGGTTAACTGTTAAGTATTTAACAAGGATTTCAAGAAATAAGATCTTTATTTGTATGCATCTCAAAACTGAAAAAAACACTATAATATAAAAACTTCATGGAATCAATCAACATCAATATGTTGTCACCCTCATTGTGGGGTTACACACCCAACATAAAAATGAAGTTTCTCTCCTGAGAGGCCCCCGCCACGGAGCTGGGGGACGACCCCTGTCCTTGCGCTGATAGGGCCCAAGTGGGCCAGTAGCATCTGCCTGAGGGGCGCCTCCTGCAGCGACACACACACGCCAGGCAGGAACATCTTCTCCTGGTGCTGCATGTCCAGAGAGACATAGCAATGACATGTTGATAAGGACATGTTACATGTCACAATGTGAGACATGTTGACTAGGACATAATAAAATTAGATGGACAAATGGACTTGCATAGCATAAAAAAATGCTTGTTCTGACTGATATCAATAAATCTCTACCTAGAGATAGAATAGTTATAAAACTTGCAATGCATAATACTACAAGAAATTGTGAAAATGATGACAATTTTGCCACATAAATTGCAATTCTAAAAAAGCCTGGAGAAATATTTCAACCTTACATGGACCACATATCTCTTACAAGTCTGAGTTTAATATCAACAGACCTTGAAAGGAGCCACAATCTCAGCTCCATCTTGAGAAGACCTGCGGGTCTGTTCTTCCCCAGGAGGTCTGAGGGTGGGCTGAGAGGGTCGGACAATCAGCTGCTGGGGTACAGGGTTCATTTGTCCTTGTATAGCCAGATTTGAACCCATTGTCTGGTTCATGAGATTATGGTTCTGACTGGCAGGGTCCATGTTGTGACTTATGCCACCAATGACTTGGTTCATTGGGCCAGAGTAAAAATTTCTTGGGCCTATATTAGGGTTCATTAGCCCAATGTTTGGTTGCATTTGACCTCTAATATTGTTCATTTGACCAATGTTTGGGTTCATTTGCCCAACATTAGGATTCATATGACCCCTACTAAGGTTCATATTGCCCATGTTAGAATTTATTTGGCCCATATTCATATTCATTTGGCCTGGGTTCATGTTGAATTGATCATTTGAAGTGTTGGGCATCAGATTCATGTTAGGAATGATTGGTTGGTTCATTTGACCAACACCAAAGTTAGGTCCATGGAGGGGGCCAGGGAAAGGCCCTCGCAGGTTTGGGTTCATCATGCAGTTTTTCAGCGGGAAGACTCCTCACTTCTCTGGAAAATGAAAAAATGTTAAATTTAGCACATATGAAAAAGAAAATGTCATTGGTCTTCATAATAATTGATTTTCAATGATCCACAAAGCTTTAATTATTTATATAGAAAACTCTGGAATAAAAATTGCAAATAAATTAGTGAAGGGTAAGATCCATTTAGAGAGAAGAACAAAAATCCATTACTCATAAAGCATCATTTGGAAAAACAAATAATGTGGTCCACAATTATACTAATACACAATTTAATTCTTCTATGATAGAAGCGAAATCAACAATAGCAAACTGTAAGAGAAAACAACACATAAAAGTTAAAGAGAATCAGTTCTAACAGTTAAGGAAATTCAAACAAATTTTAACATATAAACGTACTTGCAGCAGTTGTCATGAGAGTCCTGACTCATTTTGAGATATAAAAATATACTTAGGAGACGTAAAGATCCTTTTTTTACTGTTTGGGTAAATAATTGCACTCATACACTGGGCATCTTGAAACTAATGTAAACATCAAACGGTGACCAACAGCATCAAAAATATCATTGAAGCAGCGCAAAGCAAATGCAAGGAAGCAGATGCTTTCTTTAATTTCATTAAAATTAAAATCTTGCCAGTCTCAATCCACTTTCAGTGGAGAAACCATAACAAAACAAAGTGATAGAGGCAATGAAGGCCAGTGTGGATGTAGAATAAACCACACCTCTTTGATGTAGGAAGTTATATGCATCTCACTGCAAATTATCTTCAACATTCTTCTACAAGTTTATATAGGTATCATTGGTGTTTACAATTCAAAAGCGTGTTCCTACTTTTTTTAAACATCTCAAAAACCCATTTCTGAGGAACATTGTTTGCTATATGGAGTAACTTCAAGTTATTTAAAGACAAGTTATTCATTTGTTCATGTCTGTTTGCCTTGTTATGTTTTCCTGTTGATATTTTGTACATTCATGATAGTCAATTAATTTCTCATGTTTCTTTCTACTTCAAGAAGTCACTTGCATTATTTATTTATACTTACTGTTCTATTCCTTCTCATTTGCTGCATTTCTGCTTATTGATACACACTGCATAGTAAGGGCTTATGTTCATGTGTTGTTAACCTCATGGTGGAGAATTTTTTTAAAGCTACATAGGTATATCTTGCAGCTCAAATCTAACTCGTAAAAATAAAGCTTGTTGGTTTGATCAATACATGCATTAAGATCATATTAAAATTGTTGCTATGGTAGATCTTTTTATCTGAAACATCAAAGTGATTGTTGCATCATGACCATGGGTTGCCATAACTTTGTGCCACAATCAAACCTGTTCATTTTCCTAAAATTTCACTATTTTTCTTATTTGAACTTCAATTAAGGTACCTATGCACTTCATTCAAGGTTTAATAAAGGTACCTATGCACATCATTCAAGTTTAATTAAGGTACGTACCTATAGACATTGTTCAAAGGTTTAGGGAACTGATTTCTCAGTGCCATAAACAGACAATCTACAATGATGGCATGTCCTATTAAATAACTTATCAATCATGAACTCTGATGAATAAAGTATTTAGATCTCAAACACAAGACCTTTTCATATAATCTCAAGTGATTGCAAATAATTAGGTGAATGCTCAGCTAAGGTTTTCACAATCATATTGAAACTGATTTTTCTTTGACTTTGGGTTTTAAATGTTTAGTTCATCTATCAAACTTCTCTCAGGTTTAAAACATTTTAACGGTTATGTAACTTGAATTATTGTCACACCTACTGCAACTCTTTAATACTCACTGTCCTATTGCAACTTGAAGGCATTACTGGTTCTTGTTAATTACTTCCATTCAATTGATTCTAACCTATTTCTTATTCCTTTTCTTTATGCCTCCTTTTGGTTTTTTATTGATCTTTGGTCTTATTTTTGTGCATATGATTGTTTAGGTATGAAAGGTAGCAAAGTTAAAATAGAAGTCATCCACAAAATATTGTCCCAATCCCCTTCGCTTGAACAATGTTATCAAAGCTAATTACCACACCAGCCAGAAATTTAATTCATTGTAGCCTGTGCATTGATTCTGTTTATTACTATTCTTTCCTAAAATCTATGACTGCCTCATTCATGCTCCCAAATTTACACTCAATTTAAAATTTAACATTTGCTCATTCAACTTGTCTATCATTGTACATTACATCACAACACAGCTGCATAATAGAAAAGATATAATTCAGCATTTGTTTAATGTTGATTTTAATAATCTTTTTATGTATCAATTAAAATACAATTGCCGTCAATACAAAGTGGGTCCTTTTGATCTTGCACATATCCCATGATGCTGGCAATAACTTTCCCATGAATAATAGTTTTGATGCTTCATTTTCCCTTCAATGCCAGTGCCATTGCATGAAATCTGATGTAACAGGTTACTGATGCATATACTTGTTATTTTTACAACACCTCTCTTTAACTTCACTTCTTGTTGTTTGTTTGTTTGTCTGCCTGATACAAATTGTATAATCAATATTGAACGCACTTCTACCTCTCCAATTGATCTGAAATTTTGCACACTTGCATAAATTCAGAGACAATGCATGAATCAATTGACACAATAAATAATTTTGAAAATTTAAATTTTTTCACATAATAAAAAAATTAGAAATTCATTGTAGATGTGTAACATCAGAAACACTGTATTCTTTAGAAGTGTTGTCTCTAAAAAGTAATTTTTAAACACTTATTTTGCCATTGTAGAGTCCTTATTTTTTCAAATTTTATCATACCTTAACCACAGCATTTAATTTTCTACTTTGTTTTTCTTTTTATTTGATCTGTCATAATTACTCAATGGAAATTTTTTGATGGCATTTCAATTTAAACCATATCAATTGAATATATTATTACTTCAGATTGTTTGCTAACTGGATATACTTGGTGAAATACAGTTAAACTAGATGTCACAAATTTAAGCTAGAAAAATTATAACAATATATACACTATTATTAACACCATCTCCTTCCTTTGTAATGGTTTTAGAGTTTCTTAGTAAGTTAGTCGCCAATACTGTCTTGTGTATTTTCTTGCTACGTTTTCAGTGTTGTCAAGACAGGGCAAATGTGATAGTTTTTTTCTACAAATTTCTTGCAAAATGAATTAGTTACAAGTTTACAGCATACATCAGAATATAGAATGTTTCATTAGAGGCTGACTGTAATATTTGCTTCATATGAGCAGAGGCTAGAAAAAATACCTACAGATTTTAAAGATCAGCAGAAAAATATTGATGTGGACTGTGCTGACTGCACAGGTAATTCATTGCAAAATTATTAATTTATTATTTATTTAGGTTAGAGTGTTCTGTGTAGAGTCTAGGTTCATAACTACAATGTTATAATTTGCTATTTAAATTTAGTTAATGATGATGATGATGATAGAGAAAAACAGTGTTGAAGCCTGTGTGTTATGTGTTGAAGGCTGTGACACAGGAGATTCAAATTTGTCATTTGTTGAGTTATGACCTGTGCCCAAGTAGTTCTTCTAATTAACAATACTAATTCAGACTAGTTCCTTCAAGCCCCATTAGGCTAAGCCAACAGCATTTCTAATTTCACATAATTAAATTTTTTGCAATATTTTTAATGTGATTATGTACTTCTCAATGAGTATGATTGCCAGAGGCAGTGTAAGCTATTCTCAAATTGATGTCCTACAATAGCTTTAGCTAGGCCTAAATAGCATAAGCTTCTATCCATATTAATTCATGGCAAGTTGGATCTTTTTATCACTCAATGAAAAAATTGCAAAAAGTTATAATTTTACTGAAATAATGCAAATATTAACTGATTACAAATTAAAAATTTAGCTTCTGTGAGATTCAGATGAAAATTATTCTGAAAACAGTAGAGTAAAATCCCAAATAATTCCATCAATTTAGGGCCTAAAGCAACTTTTCCTTCTGGTCTTAATATCTACTCTTATCAATAACTTTCATTTCTTTTAAATGTTTAGGCTAATAAATTATCAACATTTTTTGGGTAAAATTAAGAAATTTTCATTTATTATTTCATATCTGACTATATAATTGTATATTTTCAAGACCCTAAATGTGAGACAGTCTTCACAGTAGGCTACTGTTTTGTCTTGTACAGAGCCTTGATACTCACGTTGATGACTCACCTTTCTGGTACCAAACAGCAGCAACCACACCATAAAAGCTGCTCACCCATCACTTGCTGTACTCTAGGCCACACCGGCACAATTGATCCTATGTCTCAATCCACGGAACTGAGCAGGGACATCTCTTGAAATGCATTGGAGGTAAATTTTCCAATATAAACTTTACTTGTATAGCAGAATAAAAGAAAAATTGAGACTTTGTTCTAAATTGTCACTTTAATATACTTTTGAATAGTTTTTATTTATATCCTGCAGTCATATTATCAACCACTATTATCAGCTACTTACTAGCATAATGATTCACAGAAAAGAAGGGTGTCACTAATTCATTCTAGCCTGAAACTTCATCTGAAAATTCTGTAAATAAAAATTCAAGCATTAAAATTACAGAAAGTAAGAAATGTTAAATACATAGTTTTAATTTCATGGATCTGTGATCTACATTCATCCTGTAAAATAATTAAATAAAAACAAAAATACATGGAATCTAGTGAGGAAAATATCTACTCTCTGAACTGCGACTGGATTTTATGAGCCGTGGTTTTATGGATTTGCAAACTGGGATTCCATTTCTTCGAGCCATCTGACCGCTCTGACGTGACCGCAACTATGTGATCTTCAACAAAACATTTTGGGTTGACTCCTTATCATGAAGTAATACAGGATATTTTGGCAGGAGCATTGAAGTACTGCAAAAGTTGACAATTTCATGAAATGACATATTTTCAAAGAGCAAACGGCAATTTTTCCAGTCAAACAAAAATATGAGACATTAAAGCCATGAGATTTCATACCTACTGAAATTATATGATATTAGAGCTGCTATATTTAAGAAAAAAGTAGGATTTTTCCAAACAAGCATGTAATAGAATATTCATTAGAAGACATCATCAGTCATATTATAAAATAAAAGGAATAACATGAATTTCTAAATAATTATTCAGTTCCATGGCAAGTTGTAGATATTCCTCCTAAATCTGTCATTGTCCACTTACTGTGCACTAGTCCAGTTCTGTCAATAGTACTAAAAATTAGTATGTTTGTCAGGGAAGTGCAATTTATGCAATGGTGCAGTGCACTGGCACAGGCAGATGTGTACATCAGGGCTGGAGAAGTCCTACTTTTTTTTCTCAAATATTACAGCCCTAATATAATATAATTTCAGTAGGTGTGAAATCTCACAGCTCTAATGTCATGTATTTTTGTTTGATTAAAAAAAATCATGGTTTGCACTTTGCAAACATGTCGTTTCATAAAATTTTCAACTTCCGCAATGATGGTGCAATCTATGGTACTTTGATGCTCATGCCAAAATATACTACAGAATGTAATAAAAACAAGTCAACCCAAAAAGTTTCTTTGAAGATCGCATAGCTGCAGTCACGTCAGAGCAGTCAGACTGCATTATCACATGTTCAGTTGCCACTTCAGTAAAGACAAATGTCAGTTTTGCTGTTTGACTGCTTTTAGCGATCTAGGGTAATATGTGCTTGGACTTTGTAAATAAGTTTGCAGCTTGTAAATGGCTTTTCATGGCCAGACCAAGAAATAGATTTCATGGCTCAAAGAAATAGAATCAAGGCTGGCAAATCCACAAAACCATGGCTTAAAAAATTCAGTCACGGCTCGCCAAGTAGATATATTCCATACCTGGACTTTAAAACTGTAAATACTGTTCAGGGGAGCATCTGGCCAAAAATTTTGGATTTTCCAATTTTTATGTTCATCTTAAAGCTGACATCCTGACAAATCCAATAGTACTAAAATCATCTCTGTACGTTGATTTATGCGTTCACATCTTCACGACAGATTGTGAAAGGTTAGGTGTCAGAAATTAGCAGCCAGCCAGGCACATAAGACTAACGTCTGTGGATGCCAGGGCGCAGAGGGTGGATGCAGCATCGCCAATATATGGGTTTTCAAGCCCTAAGCGTCGCCGGGTAATTTTAAGATGTATTGCCGGGTAATTTTTAATGAAAAGCCATTTACGCTGAGTCATGGTGCCAATCCATAGGTTATTCAAAAGAACCTGTTCTTATGTCATTTTGAACCGATCAACACTTCTTTATGGACCGATCGTAAAACACACCTTCACCGGCAAAAGCTTTCA